GGGGGCAACTGGAGATGACATGTTAAAATACATGTGCTTTTAATATAACATTTTTAACAATCTTGCCTTTGTACAGCATATGAGGATTAGTACCAATTTTATTATATTTTTGGTCCAGCACTAGTGATAAGACAGATGTGAGGTGGTGGTAAGACCGAACTGCTTGCGAGGTCTCAGCTTGTCTTTTGGTGTAAGATAAATTTACTTGTCTAAATATACCACAAGATTTAAAACACAGTCTCTTAAAATGTAACAATAAATATGACAGCAAATGGAAGCTCAAACAAATCATGCCCTCTGCAGAATTATAAATGTAAAATAAAGTCGGGGCATGCCTCTTTTTACTTCGGACAAAGTAATGGAATGCTGTCAGCAAATCAACTGAAATATTGAAAGTACCAAAATCAAGACTTGTGTCAGCAAGCACCCCTCAGTATTGTATAGGACTATTTTTATGCAAATATGCATGCATTCTGGAAGCTCAGTTTCAATGACAGTGCTCTGTCACGTCAACGACGACAGACTTCTTCCATCCAAACAGGAAGTAGCCGACGGCAGCGCCAATGACAACAGCAAGACAGAGCCAGACATTGTAAGTCATGAAGATGAGCATGAGGAAGTAGCTGAGCACAATCTGAATGATGTGTAGGAATGTTTGAACACCGTGCATGAGACTGAACATCGTTGGCCTGCACAGACAAAGAAGCTGATCAGTTCCACACATACAATATGACGTATTGGTAGATGAATGCAGTTTAATGTCATAGCTCACAGAGGAGCTATGGACACTGTGTAATCAACAGGGACTCCATCCTAGTGGGATAGCTCAAATGTGAAGCTGACTGCTTACCTCCATCTAGTGCTGTCCATACATAACACTGTGATACTCAGGTATGAACTCGTTTTACACTGAAACAAGTGAACTTGTATCCAAACTGCAGACATATACCATTTTATTTCATCCCCATTCAGGCTTGTTCACCAGTTCCTTGGGGGATGCAAAATGTTTATAGAGACGTACCTTTTGTGTTTCAATATCGTTAAGACAACTCAAATTCATATGCTCTATATCTGTGATCTGTTCCAGACATTTAGTTACACCAGAACTGTAATGATTTATATGTTTTTGGATTGTCCAGATTCTGGAGAGTCTACATATATATAAAAATGGTCATCAAATAGTCATGCAACCCATTCCAGAAAAGAAAGTTGCATTGAGTGTTGGAAATGTTCAGCAATTCATGCATTCACCCTTCTCTTTGTGTTTGATGCAACCCGTTGAAGAGTTTCTGCATCGAATGGAAATGGTTCACCGGAGGAGATACGGGAAGTGTATCCCTAAACTCATCCTGACAAGTTAAAGAACGAGATGCCAGGTTGTGTATGACAGTGAACATTTACTGCACCTGTTAAAAAAAGACATCCTTGCAATTTAACTGTTTGAAGACAAAGACTGGTGTGAACATAATCACAGCAATATTCTGTGTTCATTAATCCAATTGGTTGGCACTGAACTGCAGCCATCAATAAATATTTTAACATGGGTTACATTTCGATCACCTGTATTTTTCAAGGAAAGGGTTCATGGAGTGATAGTGTTTGGGAACTACTGCTTCAGAGTAACAGCATCTTAATTCATATGATTTATTACATTTCCTCTCCCATTGCAGATAAGGAATTATACTACAGAAAGAAAAAAACATGCAAACTAAATGTTATCTACTAGACAGCATTTCCACGAAGTGGACAAGTCATGCAATGGCAAAACTGTCTGTTATGCACATGTTACCAACAGTAAAGTTAATGTTTTATCCTCAATGATATTACAGTAAAACATGGCTTATTTCAAAATTCTTGCTTTGGAAGTCAGGGTGTTGAAATTTGACTTTGCAAAAGAACAGTTTTCAGCGTGACTACAATATGATCATACTATTGGATCATTCCTACAATTTGTGAAAGATATTGATCTAACTTGGCCTGAACCAAAGTCACAGAAATGTAACATAAAATCTTGTAGAGTGGAAGCAGTGGGGGTTCAGGTCTACTAAATGAAAGCACCGTGCCATTGCAGCTGTTACTAGTGTTATCTACTTTAAGCACAAAGCTACAGATCAACTACTGACAGTAATCAGCAGTGGTGGCCCATCCATAAGAGCTGCAGCACCCCCTAAATTTTTCAAAAATTGAAAAAATTTTGTGTTTATATAGTTTGAAACACTTTATTTCCTCTATATCATTATTTTAATACTGCCCCTTACATTGCAATTAGGTTAGGTAAAATAAGTGTAAGTTTTTCAGGTTAGGTTAGATAAGGTTGTTGTTTTACGATGGGTTGGTTTGTGTCGGAGAATTTCTAGCGTATTCATTGGGTGGTCTTGGAGAATTCCTGGAAGGTTATGTATAAATTCTTTAGCGGTGGTGGGTTTGATCCTATGCAGGTCGGTTGTTTTGGATTTATTTAAGTTTGATTGGGCGAAGTTACATTGGGTTAGGTTAGGTTACAGTGGCGGCCCGTCCATAAAAGCTGCAGCACCCCCTATGTTACGACACTTTATTTCGTCTATATCATTATTTTAATATTGCCCCTTACGCTGTCATTATCCACTAATCAGCTGAATTGATGGTAAGTTCACGGGCGAGGATTGCGAAGCAGAACAGGGCTATCATCCGGCTGCAAGGATTTTAGCGCGGCTATCCAGTCAATAGCAGTGAGCACGGCAGGCGGTGGAGTGTGGGGCAGTTCACTGGTACAGTGCGTACCGGGGCTGCATGGTTTGCAGATCCGTCTGCTTGTCACAAGTGGACAGAGCGATGCGTGGTGGAGTTTGGGGCAGTTCACTGGTACAGCGCGTATCGGAGCTACAGTCCCCGCAGCCGGCTTATAGCAAACACGCTTGCCTGGTACCACGTGTTTTAGAATGGTTTCTGTATCACAAACTGTTTCATGGTTATAGATATTATGGTGCTTTTGAAAATTTAGTTGTCAGGACAGCAAGCATGTACGAACATGCAGAACCACATGCAATCACATAAGAGTGTTAACTTACGGTTGTTTGTGTATCACTTCTCCCACCATGCTGTATAAACAGAACACAACAATGACAGTAAGTAGACACAATCTCAGCAAACCAACTCATAAAAAAGCACAATTTACTTCAAATTGTTAGAAATGGAGATGCAATGCTAAAGGAAGTTACAGGTGCCGGCCTCATCTGCGTCAGAAGCCGACAAATAAAAAGGAATGGCTATCTGTAAACGGTGACAGAGTGACTGGAAACACAGAACCCAATACAATATTAAGCCGACGTCTGTTTACTTGGACACCATGTGCTCTGGTAATGCAGGTGCATCATGTTCATTTTCTGACAAATTGTATACTTTAGCCAAATTTTGGTAGGGCCAGACATAACACTGAATCGATTAGATAAAGTGTCAGTTTCTTGATTTTTATGTAGGAGATACCCAGTTAGAATACTGATTATCAATTTTTCCCCTTGATTTTCCTCAGTCCTTTAGACTGTCCAGGAGAGTTTCTCATAATGGTCCATAACAGCTTCATTCCCTGTTCACTTCACACTATGTCCTCACCTCATCTGATGCCACATAACCTACGCAGTTGAAAAACATTGTTAAATGATGAAAGAACTAGCCATGTCATCAGTTTAATGATCATCTGAGTAAGCAACACAAGGTTGGCTGGAAATGATGCCCTGACAACAGCACAGTATATTACTATTCAAGTACAAATTTGAGTGGATTTCAAGCATCAGCAGTCAAAATGGTGAATGTTAATTTTCATGGTTCAGTGCCCCATATTTGTGTTTCGGTTATTATACCGTGCTGTTTCTTCTATTGTAGGAATCTTCTGGAAACTTCAGGTATGACAAAACTGGATGTAACGTGCAGAATGCAAGAGGCAAAATCGGAAAAGCGCTCGGAGAAGAACCACTTGAAACAAAGGTGTGTAAACATACCTTTCCTCCTATACCAGCCAACTGCTGGGTCCAAGAGATTAAGCCCAAGGATATAATAAGGTGCTGCTTGGTCAGGGCAATTGCACATCTCATGAGGTGCTGATAACAGAGTATGGAGCAACAGTGGAATGACAAAGAGCATGGGAAATCAAAGAACTGTAAGTTAAACCTGCTCTATAGCTACTCTGTCAACCGTGAATCTCGAAGTGCTACTGTGGATGTATTTTTCAGCCATGAAAATAACCTGTCAGGATGTAGCGCAAGGTTCGTCTTACTTACTGTACTATCCGGTTATCTTCTTCCATGATCCTCTTCTCTGCAGGCATTGACACGGCCCTGTATTGTAGCGAGCTGTAAGTCTTCCAGAATAGGTACTCCCTGAAACAGTAGTCTTCATTTAACCTTGTACCTGTCATGATCTGCTCTCGTAGATGCTTAGAAGAGGCATGCATAATGCAGAATGTCAACATTTCCTGCTTATCACAGCAGCATTTACCACTAGGCTTGGCACTAAGAAGTCACATATGATACCTGTAGTACTTGAGGCCCTCATACAGTGCTGCCATGATGAAAATGCCAATCATGGAGCCCAGCAGCCCACCTATGCTGCTCACCTTCCAGCTGTCAAACAGCACCGTTTCACAGTACCCGGTATGGAATGTCATCTGAAAAGAAGGCCAAAAGGCAGTATGGGTCAGTCCTAACCAAGCAACAATCGGAACCCGCTGTCGAACATAAAGGTTCAAGACATTCTTCCCGGAAGAAATTAATGACAAATCATCCATTTCACTCAGTCGACTAAATTCCTTGACCAAAATTGACTCTTAACTGTATTTTCTTTGTATTATTCCCTCTTCTCATGTGAGCACTCCTCTTTTAAGTGTCCACTCCTTCCCAATTCTCATTCATATATCTTCCCTAACTGGTCCATCTTATCCTTTCTTTCCTCCATTAGTTGTTCATTCATCACACTTTTTATACTTAACAAAACAGTTCATTATCATGTTTGCTAAAGCCTGGCACTAGACTTTATCCTGAGCCAGCTAAATCCAATCTACATTCTCACATCCTGTATCTATGAGATCTATTTTAATATTATCAAATTACACCTATGTGTCCAAAGTAGTTTTATCCCTTCATGTTTTCAAACTAAAACGTACGTGCAGTGTCCAACGCATCTCACGCACTAGTATGAGCTGTTGGTTTAGTCCTTATGCCTTTTCATGCTCTAATGTCACGTGACAACACTTGACGAAGCTCAGATTCAGAGCTGTGTCGCTGTTCCTCTGCTCCTCGCCTTCTGTCTAATCTGGGATTGATTCATTTGGCATCAACTGCTTCTTTTGAATCTTTTCCCTTGTGGACTAAAACAACAATTCATTAACGGTATTTGGAGAGGTTCTCACCATCATCATCATACCATGCCCGCTGTGGTCCATCGAGTTACACTCATCCATGCCTGTCTGTCCGCTTGCATCGGAGTCGTCATGATGATGTGCGGTGGTGTGTTCGTGATCCATCACGTGGTGGTGCTCCATCTACAAAGAAGGAAAGCATGACTTGAGCACAGCGGAATTCTAGCCAGGAAACAAGCCGTACAGACTGAAGATTTAACAGTCACCTGGGTGAGTTTGTGAAGTGTATTTTATTTCTAAAAAGTTGAAGGGCGTATTCTGAGTGCATTCTTTGCGATTCAGATACTCTTTCACCGTCATTCGAATTTACTGCGAGTACAAATCCATTGTTGCTAAGATAATCATACTGTACATAGTCAGATATTATAGCAAAGTACTGCACCCACAAAGGACAAACTGGAATATATGGTATAAAATTTGTATATCATCCCTTTCTGTTATTTCCTTTTGAAATTTCAGTGACATATTGGAAGAAACTAGGTCTTCTCAGTCAGGCTACAGACTGGATGACCAAGGTTCAATTCCTGGAATAGCATGATTTTTCTCTTCAACACACCCCAGTACTCCTGCTTCATACATGGAACCACCATATCAAATCTCAAAATTAACAGTAATAATACATTTTAAGATTTGACTTTAGTGCTACTTGCGTTAATTACGCACATTACAAATGTCCTTGTAATGGCAGAGATAAGCAGTCACTTTGGTCTCTGGAACATAGGATAAGTGTGTTATCTTGCTTGATAGCTGGAAAGGTTACTGATCCTTATCTATCCATGTCATTATCAGATGTTATCAGATATCTAGCATGTGTCCTGTCTGTAGCCAAAATGAATCATTTTTTGCATGTTTTCTTTCGCTATTGTGAACTATGGTCTCTTCCTTTAAAGGAAGAAAATAAGTGTGACTTGGAAGACAATTATGCAATGAGGTACTTCATGATTTATCACAATCTTACAAAACTACAGTTCTATCAGTTGTTTTGAATGGGCGTGTAATTTGGTCTCCCAGGGGAACGAATGAACTCAAATCGAAGTGTTTCAGAGAAGGTGTTGAGGAGAATAAGAATGACCGTGCAACAAGTTGGAATACCAGGATAGAAGAATAATAATAAAATGGATGTGACCTGGAGAAACTGGCTTAGGACCGTGTTCAATGGCAAGTTTTGGTAATAGCAGATTCTGTTACCAGAGAGTTGGCTGGTTAATCTCAAGAATATAAATATACTGTTCTGAGTTTTCTTCGTCCATTCTGTAGTTTTCATGATGCACGTTTACACCGTTTATTTTTTTTAATTTTATCTTTTGATATCTTATGTAATTTTCGAGTTTCTTACATTATTTTTTATCCTGTACTATTTTTTTTAGTGCTTGGCTGTAATTGGTCCTGCTTGGTTGATGTCAAGCACATGAATTAACCGACTGATTTCTTGTTGTTTTTGCTTCTGAAAGAGGAATGTAGCAGTGGTACAGTAGCACAATTAGTTGATAACAACACAGAGGTTAACACTGTGGAGTAAGAAAAGAACAATTTTACATCTCAGGGTCAAATAAAAGGCACAGATGCAATCAAGATGACTGCTGCCAAAATTCCAGAAAATGGAGCAATGAACTGCGCTTGTCATTGACAATTTAAATGGGTCTTATAACTTTCGCCAAGAAGTAGCAATTTAATGACAGGATGAGGGCAAAGTTCCGTCAGAAATGTGACCCCGCTACAATATACACGACCTAACAATACTAGAATGCCAAGGCATTCTTTACAGATGTACAGTCTCTGGAGACATTGAGGTAAAAGATTACTATTTGGCCGTTGTCCAGCAAATTATTAGCATCACTGATGAGCTTATGTTTTTGATTCAGTATAGCATCCTGCTGTGTAATAGTCTTTAAAATATATGAGACGTGTGGCTGAGGCGATTTTCAACGAATATTGCAAGAGGTTATTTTTCAGCCCCTGAGTACGTTAATTGTGTTGTAGTTTCTCTGTCTATGCAAAGTGAATACGTCAAATATAAAAGCATTCTTTACGCGAACTGGAAAACTAAATTCCTTACATCCGCTCGACCGTGTCAGAGTACCGTATCGCGGCGCTCTCGGCGAGAGATCTTGAAATTTTGTACTGAGAACCGACGATGAAACAGAAATTACCCAACGGCTGCAACTTCACATAACGGAAACCCTTCGGTGGGAAATCATTGTTGTTTGATCAGTTCGAGTTATCTGGTGATTTTACTGTAGTAAAAACACCAATGAATCAAAGCTACGTATGTTAACAGATGTCCGAATGGTAATATCCGGGACACAGAATGACAAAAGTATTCTACAAATCCACATTTGATTGCTCGTAAGTAAATTACACTCCTGTCAGTTAGCTAGACAAAGAGTTGAGATGAAATTTATAAATAATAGAATAAAACCGTCTGTGAGAACACGAGAATGCACCAATCGATGCCATGTTCTCACACTGAAGCGTTTAAAATGGCTGATATAGAGAAATGAAAGAAATGTAAATATTTAAAAAAAATCCAACGAAACTTCTGAGACGTGTCTGGAGATGCTGTAATACTAACGGCAGCGGAAGGAGTGTCTAGCTTCTAGAGGATAAACTTGTGAACTTACGGGAGCACTGTATATCTGTGATATCCAGTTGCTCATAATCTGCTTAGGAGTGATTCACTGTAGCAGGTGACACAATATGGCTGCTCGGGTGATACGATTTTACAAGGAAATTGTCATAACTGTGGTTCTGCGTCTGCCTTGTCTGCGATACATGACGTAAGACTTGGTGTCTTTGCCACGCTGACAATTTGAATGCAAATATTCGCAAGCCAGGTTATATCGGTGCGTCATGTTGCGTA